GGCTGAAAATGATCGATGACTCTTCTCGTACATGATTTGGACATTCTCCAGGCGGTCTACCCTGAAAATGCGATGCTTGTACCGTTGACATATTAGGCACCACATACTTATGATTGAAGAGAATATAGATGCTGGCTATCAGAGTGACAAAACTTCGATGTGGTAGACACAAACAGAGAGATTAGTCGGAAGTCTCAGCAACTATCTTAAACGCTAAATGTGGGTGCGCTTGCGACGCAGTCGGATAATTTTTTGCGCTAAAGCCGCGATAGACAGGTGAAGAACTGTTGATTGGGTCCAATTTTAAGCTCTTGTACGGATGGAAAAGATGATAGCGTTTGATTTAACGAGATGTTGAGGACAATAAAAGCATAAGCGGATTACCAATTAACACTGTTTTACAAAGTAAGCAATTATGAATGCCTTTGAATTGTACAGTTCCATAGATGCATCGGCATAAGCTTTACCCACCTTTTATAAGTTGTACTATGTAGCGGAACGTATCGGTCATCCGCGTCGTGATAAATTATACAAATCAGTTCTATAGAAACCGACAGTGAAGGAGAGGAAAATGTGATAAATACATCACAAATGTCGATTGTGACTACGAGCCGCAGAATTCTTTGTCTCGTGCACTGAAACAACAAATCGTCATGCAGATGCAGCAAGCTCTTTATTCTCCAGAAATTAAACCGCCTTTAAAAATTATTTGAGATTTTTACAAGAGGAGCAATTACGCCTTGACAGCAGTTGTAGCGAATCTACCATTACTACCTTTTTAAAAGGAAGACACACAAATTCGTGGAGTATCTCAGCGTATGTAATTAAAAGGGTGTAAACTTAAAGATTCCCAAGCCTTTTCAGGCTCAAATGAGACTTAAGTTTAGGTAATTTAACATGAAACGGGGCTAGAACAACCCGTACTAACTTACACAATAGATGCTTAGGAAGCCTAGACCCAAGTTTTAGGTATTAAGTATTTCTAACTCTATTTATATTATTGACTTATAAACCATCCTAAGTACGAATGGTTCCCTTGGACTCATGGGAATCACTCAATCTATGTGCCCATATCTTACTGGCGAATAACGGGACCAAGCCCATTAAACCAGCTAAAATATACGACGTGGTACTTCCGCTACCTCGGAAGTAGCTCCTTTACCTAAGTAACATGTAAACTTAATCGAAACTACTTATGTAACGGGGTGGCCCATTACAAATGGTGTTTGTGAGTCCTTAGAATCTGTGGAGACGACAAAATCGTTTTACTGATTGTGTTGGTGCTCACATAACTATCACACTTCATACCTTTACAGACGCTACATACACACCTTATTATACCAACCCCACGACACGTGACACCTCGGGAGCAACATACTTTTTTAAAAATGAGCTCTCGTGAGCTGCTGTGGTGCCTTAGAATACTCAAAGACGGTCGAAGTAAAATGTACGTTTACCAACATAATGCTCTTTTCACGCTTCGTACGATGCTTTTACGTGGCTTTTTGAGAGACGACAAGCATTTTGTCAACGCTGCAATTTTTTTCCAAAGGCCCATCTCTATGGTATGGGGTATCTCCCATAATATATATTTAGGTACAGCGATTGCAAATTTATCTGAATCGCGAAGCACCGAAGATGATGCTTAACGGTATAAGGACTTCGTCTGAAGCTGCCGCAGAAATCCCACTCCAAATTCAAGTGCAGATATAGAAGTCCCCTGGCGTTTACCCCTGGCGTTATAAATGCTAACTTTACCCAATAAAATAATCAAGCGCTGCAAGAAGTCGAATCCGCACCAATCAAGGTTTGGAGGACGTTACTAAGCCCTTAAGACAGACCTCCGGGAGGACCAGCGATATAGTGCAGCACATTATGATACGGATGTGGCAGGGTCAAGATGCCCAGCTCACAAACACCCTTCGTCAAATGATTTGCCCCATGAAGATGCTGCGTGCCGCAATGAAGATCATACGTAGAAACAGAGAGTCCTGCAAATGAACTCAGTAAGCTGCCAATAGAGAAGATATAGCAACATAGAGAAATACTAAACAATACGATCGTGAGGAGGCAGCTGCATTAACCCACCAGAGGGATTATAAAGAATTGCGAATGCCGGCAATTCTTTTAAAATTGACGGCATTTCTTTATAGATCTTTCTGGTGGGTGATTGCAGCTGCCGCCTCACGTGGCCATGTAAAGCAACCGTACGAGGGTTCAAGACAGATTTCATCGACGAAGCGGTACCGCTAATAATGATGCATTGCACATGATTTAACATTTACATCACACTACGCTTATATTAAATTGTGTAAACGCTTTGATGGCGCTCGGCTTCTGCGTGCTTTGATGACTCCTGTGCAGCATGCACAGCAACGGTACAGGCTTAAAATCAAGGAAAACGGATGGTTTGGCAGCAGTATTAATAGTGTAATTAGTAGTGGTACTTAGTAGCATAAATGTTGTCGCTTAGGTTTTGGTGGCAGATAACCTCACTTGGATTTCACAAATGGTGTTTGTGAAGGTTACACAGACGGTGTTTGTGAATCCTCTCACAAATAGGGGTTTTGTAGAATTTCTTTGAGTTTTTTACACGCCGCTATCATATTCATGCAAATTCACGTTTTATGGAACAGGCTTTGGTGGTGGTGACCACCATTATCCTGAGCTGTTATTTGTGTGGTGGTTTAAACTTCGAGACCAAAATTTGCCAGAATCAAATGGATGTTAGATGTACAATTTGTAAGTCGCTAGGTGTTTTTGAAATTAACCCATAGTTGAACGTCCCGTTGGACCTCTTGTTAAAACAGTATTTCAAGCATATGTTAAAATGCCGCCTACTTACCTTTGTAAAAACCGTGCTCTGAGTCGTGTAAAGAACAAGCTGAACATATAAAAAACCGAAATAACTGCATCAAATAAGAAAGATACGAGGTCGCGGCTTTAATGGCGAAATTTGAACGGAACGACAGTAACGATGAAAATTTGTGAAATCATAAATTGTCGCAGACATGTCCGATTTAGGAATTGCAACGACTGAGACAATCCCAATTCTGTCTAATTTAGGGTAATTGCTGCTTAGTTAATAAAATCACTGATCCGATAAAACGAGGTAACAGCGACCGAGTGAGTACCAATATTGTATGATTGTTGCGAGCCCGAAGGGCGGAGTTGTTAGTGACTGTGCGCAAGGTTGTATGCCAAACTTTGATTCGTACTTATCCGTGTGTGTCTGTGTATCTGTAAATAACACGGTTAGGTGCATCTTACTCATATCAAGTGCAATCTAGACTGTCCCCTCTAAAAGGTACAGGCATGTTCGAGTCACTCTTTGACGAGGTCACTATTTTGACGCGCGCGATACGATCACATAAGCGAATGCTGTACACTCATAAGCAAAGGCTGATCGCCTGGCACAAGTATACTGTACTGGATTCACACAGACGTTAACGCCATGTAACACAGACACGAACAGCATGATACTCATTTTTAGTGATAGCTGCTGTTGTATAGCGTTTTGCAACTTGATTCAGTTCTCCAAACTGGATTACTCATATCAAAGGGCGAGCTCCAGAGCTTGCCCCCCTATCCTAATTTGAATCGGACATTTATTTTAAATCCTGACGTGCGAACTCTTATCTACGTACAGTGCTGCACCGAATAAAAAGGCGACAGAATGCACGGGTGGACTGCTTGCACCTTTTCGAATATGTGACTACTGCAGTAGCAAACTGCACCAATTTTAGCAGAGAATTCATCCGGAAGGCGTTCGCATAACCAATGTAAAACACTGCTTCAGTGGTTTTGCTTGTTAGTACAAACTACTTTAGCCTTGCCGCATTAGTTTTAAAGCTTGCTTACTTCGTTGTTCGTCTAATAATGAAGTAGCAGTGTGGCTTTCGTGTGTCCTACTCCCTGTAAAGCGGTTAATATGAGTGCCAAGTGGTTAGCATAATACACAAGTCACCTCAATTATAGACGAAAAGTAATATCGATTCTTCGATACACTTGGCTTCTTCAGTTGCTCAGGATTCGCTGGCCGTTTCTTTGTGGTACCAGTAGCTGTATCCCATCCTCGCGCTGGACCACGCGTCTATCAAGTACATACCAGCCGCAATGTAGTGATGGCAGTACTGTGCATAGTGAATGCATGCGCACTGGAGGAATTTTTTAGGGGGTGGCCGATGCGCGCGGCCTGTAACCCCATAATTAACGCAATGTGTCAGAGTGCATGGTTATCAGAGTCGATGCTTAGCTGGAAGAAGACTCATTCAACACTTATCACTTGCGCGAATACGAGAGCAGGCAAACAAAAGTACTTCCGAGTGCTCCAGGGTACATGAGCAAGTGAATTACAGCAAAGGTGAGAATGGTAACATCGTCGTCCATGTCTTCGTCAGCGAAAATGGGAGCTACAGTGCGACACTTTGTACAGGAGTTTGTCTATCAGAAGATAGAGCAGGTTCACGAACACATCCCCTAACCTTGACCTGTTGACAATGAACCGGACGTTATAAGAAACGTGCCATACCAAGACTTTGTTTTCGTCCAGGACAAAAACGTCAGATCAACATGTCCCACACATCGACCTCTATGAATAATAATAAAAGTTTTCGAAATTAATTATGTCGTGGTCACCGCATTTACCTCAGACAACCATAATCCACGTACTTTATATGCCTGAACCAACACAAGTATATCCCACTCTATAAAATATGAGCTGATACCTAAACGCAAATACTTGAGCTTGCATAAGATGCACGCTCGTGCTTCACAACCTCTCTAGAATTTGTCTCACTCTCACTTCCTTCTGCAATCCATTACCTTCCACAATTCAATTCCTTACACACTTGATCCGCGTTAACACAGACCACACGCTTCCCCAGCAGCGAGTCAGTCGTCAACCCGCGCTCAAGAGCTCCTCATTCAGCACGTACGCGTCACCGTTGTGTCCCATCGACTACCAGTCAGTGATACCTAAACCCGCCCCATTAGTGCCAATGGTCTCGTCTTCCTCCTCTGCGGCCTTGCAGCAGAGTCTCGGCGAGTCTGAAGTGTTTGACCTCGTGTGCGACTATTTGCGCACGCGCCAGTTCTTCGAGGCCGAACGCACGTTGCGCTCAGAGCGCGAGGCCACGAGCTCCTGCTCGCCCAAAGCCTCGTCGCCCGTGTCCCAGCAGCCCAATGACGCGGCGGTGTCGACTGACGCGTCCCTCTCGTCGCGCCTCGAGTTTATGCTCGAGCGCAGTTACGTCACGCAGCTCGTGTCAGGGTCGAATCAGACGGAACCCGAGAAGATCTTCGTTCCCCGTCATGAGCTAGAGTCCACGTCTAAGCGCGTACGGGCCCATTTGGACGGGAACGAGGCGCTAGCTGTCGACTATGTTCAAGGCACGACAATCAACGCCAGTAAAGGAGACGGTGATGACGACACAGAGGAGGAATTCCACTTAAGTACGCGACTTGTCAGTTTTGACGCGTGCAAAGACGACCCACACGGGTCAGCGACCATGCCGATTTATCAGACGTCCACCTTCACGCAACCTTCTGGCGACACGTTCGGCGCCTACGACTACACGCGCTCGGGCAACCCTACACGGGCAGCTTTAGAGCGCCAAATGGCCGAGCTCGAGAGCGGACATCGGGCATTTGCCTTCACGAGTGGCATGGCTGCACTCTCGGCTGTTTCCCGTCTAGCGCATGCCGGGGATGAAATCGTGCTCTCGGACGACTCGTACGGCGGAACGTACCGCCTGCTGAGTAAAGTCGCGGCAAAAAACGGAATCAGCGTCAAGTACGTGGACTTATCGGGCGAAAATGGTCCTAAGAACTTAGGGGCAGCTCTATCAGACAAGACGAAGTTGGTCATGATGGAGTCCCCTACTAACCCTATGCAGCGAATTTGTGACATCCGACGCCTCGCCCAAGCTGCACATACAGTCGGTGCCCTGTTGTCTGTGGACAATACAATGATGAGTCCAGTGTTGCAAAATCCGCTGAAGTTAGGGGCGGACATTGTCGTGCACTCGGCCACGAAGTTCGTGTGCGGACACAGTGATACGATGTCGGGAATTGTCATCGCGAAGGACCCGGAGCTCTGCCGAGACATTTACTTCTACCAGAACGCGGAGGGGACTGGCCTCGCGCCGTTTGACTGCTGGCTGCTGCTGCGTGGCGTTAAGACCATGAGTCTGCGTGTGCTTGCAGCGCAGGAAAATGCCGTCAAGGTTGCCAACTTTTTGAACGACCATCCGCTTATCAAGACCGTGCACTACACGAATCTGCTGGACGAACACTCGCCCGACCGAAAGATCCACGACTCACAAGCTCGAGGTAGTGGCTCGGTGGTGTGTTTCCGTACTGGCTCGCTCGCTTTCTCTCAGCACCTGCTGACAGTGACGAAGCTGTTTAAGATCACCGTGAGCTTTGGCAGCGTGAACTCGTTGATCTCGCTGCCCGGTGCGATGTCGCACGCTAGTATTCCGGAGGAGGTACGCAAGGCGCGCTCGTTCCCCGAGGATCTTGTGCGTCTGTCCATCGGTGTCGAGGACGCGAAAGATCTCATCAAGGATCTCTCGCAGGCTCTGCAATCGTACGTACCTCCTTAGGTGACGCAGTGAGCGATGGACGCTCATATTGATGATTACACGGGACCCTCTGAATTCGGGTGGGGGCTACTTCTGAGCCTAGCCGCTCTTCATGGGGTCAAACGCATTTACACAAAACCCATTCTGCCAAGTGTGCAAGGGATTTTTGTAGTGTGTCGGATCGTTTCACCCACAGCACACTTTCGTGTGGTGCTGTGCAGTTTGTATTCACGTGTAATCAGTAAATGTCGACCGTATTGAATGGGCAAAACAAAGAATGTTTTGATGTTTTGCTTTTGACAATTCAAATGGTACCATTGTGGATTGCCAAGGCTTTCAGGTGCGAGATGATTAGAGCGTCAAGAAGGCTTCCTTCCTTCCATTGTGAAATAATGTGTAAACAGCACGGTTGTGTTGTGGTGTTTTTGAAGCTTCTGTCCGATAAGCCTTTGGCCGATTAGCGTCAACGCCAGGTCGATAAATAGCATTTAAGTTACTTAGCGATGTCTGCTACCCCGGTAACAACAGTGCTAACAATCTGCTGCGTCGAAAAGCCGCAGTCAATTATGACTTAGATCTGGCACAATTTTGCCACTGATATTGCTGGGAGCAGCTAGCGTTGTCCGCAGCGACACCGTTACAGATGTTTATTGCACCCGTCTACTGTTGCAAAACAAAACAGGGTACTCCGATCTTGTATATCTGAGAAGAGCTTCTCCTTTCAATATACACAAACAATAGTTGAGGAGACGCCTTTGAGCGAGCGTAATTAATATTTCGATCGAAGGCGCAACTCAATGCCGTCATTTGTGTCGTTCTTTGTACTATTCACACAGCCCGTGTATTCTAAACGTAGATCTCAATTTCCAGCGAGCAACTATAGCAGTGGCTACTTCACCGAATCACCAAGCTTACGGCACTCTATCAGGTAACGGGAAAGCAACTCGACACGAGCGCGTTGCGAGCTCTCGACGAGATGTCATATACGCAGATGTTTACTTGTTAGAGAGCGAGACAGTACATAGCTTGGCACGTCCCGAAGTATGTTCATTAGACAACGTAAGATGAATTTTGTCAAAGTATTTGGGGTTGATGCGAACAAGTCTCACTTCGTCTTCGCATCAAGCCAATGCGGTATCCGACAGTATACAGCTACCTCTTAGATTTTTATGTCGCATCCAATATCCAGTAGCTTCACATTATTCGAGCGGAAGATATAGAATTAAATGAGCAACAACATGGTATGCAATCAATTCCCGGAAATCAACGAAATGTCCCTACAGCCAAAACGTTACTGCCTATAAAGAATGCATTCTTCTTGGGCGCCCAAAGTTTACCATTCAACTTGCAAGTATAAAGAGAGCTGAATCAGACCGAGCTCAATTTATCGGTAGTCACAATTAGAATGAGTTTTGTTAAACTGCAATGTAGGGAAGGCATTCACTGCACAAGACAAAGCAGCACGATGTGGTGTAGCAGCACTGTCTATTTCAGCGACTACTACTTGATGTCTCGCAGAGTCGTTGTGAGCGCTAAAGATCATATTCATGCTGGTAAAGACTCTTGCACTAATTCATTTACTAAAGTCTCACCAGAAGCTAGCAAAAGAACTCAATCGTCAAGGGAGCGCCGTGCACCAAATATGGTCAGACGTATCTTAAATAATCGCTGATCTCTAACAGCTTGTTCGAGTAAAAGTAACATCATTCTGATGCGTCCACAAATTGCGATGTCATAAAAGCGAAGGAGGATGATTTGGTCCGACACATTCTGATGCACAAATAAAATGGTGACGTGGTAGATTTTAACGGTATTCGTGCGCGCTTAGATCTCACTTAGCCCCCAATTAAGGCCGAAATGAAGTATACTTCGACTAAAATAGGGTAGCCGCAACTGTTATTCATTAGCATTTAAGCGTCAGTCTTTCTTGAGCGCCAGTTCACAACCACATGTTCAACAACATGCAGAGACGTTCTGTGTCGATGGACGACAGAATGAGGTCGATCCATAAGCGATTGATAAGATGCTTTTGCATCAAGCGGCGGCACATAGACATCATTCACTCGAGCTAATTTACAAGACTTGACGACTTTTGACGGAAAAAAGTAATAAAAGTTTTGATATTTATTTAACAATTCTGATAAAAATTGCTCAATTTTTAATATCGCGTTACGCGAATTTAAGCTTGCGCAGGTGAAGATGAATAACCTAACGTTCTTCGCAGGAGGTTGTCGATATGAAAAAGGCGAGCTGCGCTTTTTTCATGGGCGGCGAAAATTTGCTACGTAAATTTCAATAAACACGATCGTTATATACGGAAACCCGAATGTTACTGGCTCAGCAGTGGCAAACTGTTCACGAACTCAGCGGACACACGCCAACTGAAAAGACACAAAACATGCACTCGAGCACTTGTCTGCGTTTCGTTTAAGTGCTGTATTTATTACGCAAAATAGCAGGGAAGGAAGTCGCGACTATCAGAAGATACGACACGTACTTACCCGGTGTAGGCATCCACGTGGACGCCGGCAATGGCCCGACCAGACGGGTCAGCCGCATTTTTAAATGCAGCGTCCCATTCGATAGCCGCCGGGGTGCTACAGGCAATACTGGGTCCACCGGGCACCGTCTGGGCAGCCACCTCGCGATGGAAGTGGTGCTGGAAGATACTGCGGTAAAAATAGGCCTCCTTGGACTGCGGCGTATTGTACGGGAAAAGGCGCTCGGCGTGTTTCATCTGGCGCTCCGTGACTTTCTGCTCGGCCAAGTCCTTGAGCGAATCGATCCATCCATAGCCGACACCATCCGAGAACTGCTCTTTCTGACGCCACAGGATGTGCTCGGGCAAATACGGGTGTTCCTTGTCGTCGAAAGCCTTGCGGATAATGTACTTTTCAAACTTGTTGGCTTTGGCGTCAATCATCTTCTCTCGGGAGTCAATGTTCATGGCAATATCAAGGAAGTCCACGTCCAGGAACGGTACGCGGGCCTCGAGTCCCCACGCACTCGTGGACTTGTTGGCACGAAGACAGTCGTACTGGTGCAACGACAACAATTTAGCCACCGTCTCCTTGTGAAAAGCTTCAGCATTCGGGGCCTTGTGGAAGTACAGGTATCCACCAAAAATCTCGTCGGCACCTTCACCCGACAAGACCATCTTGATACCCATAGCTTTGATCTTGCGTGACATGAGGAACATGGGCGTGGACGCTCGGATCGTGGTCACGTCGTATGTCTCCAAGTGCTTAATGACCTCGGACACAGCATCAAGTCCTTCTTGAATCGTGTAAGTGTACGAGTGGTGGATTGTGCCAAGAAAGTCGGCCACCTCCTTGGCGGCTTTCAGATCAGGAGAATTCTCGAGACCGATTGTAAACGAGTGGATCTTGTTGATCCACTCGCCACCTTGTGCCACGCGTTTCTGCTTCTCTCGCACAGCAATAGACGCTACAAGGGATGAATCTAATCCACCTGATAGCAGCACGCCCCAAGGCACATCCGACATCATACGGCGTTTGACTGACGCTTCAAACGCGTCCCGCAGCACTTTCAGATCCAGTGGCGTCGTACCAACGTGGCCAGCATCGTACCAGTTGGGTTTATACCACCGAGTGCACGTTTCCGTATCGCTTGTAAATAGATGACCTGGTGGAAAGACCTCAAAGCGCACACACTCGTCCTCCAGAGCTTTCATCTCAGACGCAAACCAGACACTCCCATCGGCTCCGTAGCCGTAATACAACGGCGTAATGCCCATATGGTCTCGCACCGCCAGGAAAAAGTCCTTCTTGTAGTCATAAAGCACAAAGCTAAACATGCCTCGCAACTGCGAGACAAACGAGACGCCTTGTTCGAGATAGAGCGCAATGAGGATCTCACAGTCCGACTTGGTCCGGAACGAATAGGGCACTTGGAGGCTTTGAGCGAGCTCGCGGTAGTTGTAGATCTCGCCATTCACGCAGCACGTGATGTTGCGCTGCTCGTCGTTGCTTACAAGCGGCTGGGCGCCCGATTCGGGATCGATAATCGCCAGACGCTCGTGCTCGAGCGCGACGCCACGATCAGCAAACACACGCACGCCGTTCCAATCTGGACCGCGGTGCTGGATCTTCTTTCCCGCTGTCAGAGCGGCTTGCCGGAGCTCGGCCTCGGGCAGCAGAGAACGCAGGATCGCGACGATGCCGCACATTTTTGGTTTGAATGGACAGGAACGCTCGAAGGGCTAGAGGGCGTCGGACGAAATTGTGGACCAGATTGGGTGAAAACGGTTGAACGGACCCGGTCGTAATTAGGTAACGGACCCGGTGGTAATTGGGTAACGGACCCGGTCGTAATTGGGTCATTGTACCGGTGATTTGTTTTGACTAATCAGATACGACGTATTAATATTAATTTGTTGTACTCAATCTAGTTCTGATTGTATCCAAATTTTGATTTACTTATTTAAACTATACTATTCCATAATAAGTCGCATTTACTGTAATGGCAATACCAGCAGGTGATGCGCTGCGAATCGAAAGGAGGGAGAGCCGAGCGATTGAACATAGTCGTATGGCGATGATGAGGAGACGACTTGACGCTTGAAACATCTTGAGGGGCACACTGCACTTGTTTCATGTGTACGCATTCGTGCCATGTAACAAACATGACTTATTTAACGAAAATTGCTATATTTGCATAATGGTGAATGCATTCCCAGTGGCAGCATCGAAACACCTGGTTACAAAGTGCCTACAACAAGCTTTAGTACACGCACTTTGAAATCAATGTGGCTAACATAGACGTCTTCAAATCAAAATGTCGTCGACAAAGACGTCTCTTACGATAACCACGACAACATCAACGACGCCAAGACCGTCAACGCAGCCGTCTCTATATCTTTCAACGTGAAGGGATGCCGAATGGCGACCATATTATTCAGGTAATTTTACAATGCCGGAAATTTTTGAGGCGTCCTCCACACAAACGTAATATGGCATGCATACATACGTGCTGTGTGCTCCGCAAGAAAGGTACAACGTCTACAGAGCCACAACAATCAGGCGGTCAACGGGTGTGTAAAGTTGCTGCTCTTCGCGCATCATCTATATTAAAAACCGCACCTTACTCTGGGGTCAGGTTGAAGACGTTAGGAACTGCTCGATAGGGAAAGGAGAACGAAGCGATAGGACGATCATGTCTAGAAGGAAGTGAGCGCGACAAGGCAGATGTCTATAAAGATTGTAGAAGAGCAAGAACCAGGTCTACCTAGCAGAGTACTGATCTCGTCAGTTCCAAAGTTACCTAAAGGTAAACAAGTCGTTCGCGAGTGTTTATCGTGGTGTAATTTCTATTAGGGTTATGAGCCCAAGTGCAGACCGACTACGCGCTGCTGCACGACCTTCACGGCACACAAGATGAAGCATGCAGTCTTCGGGTCCAAGCAGCGACGCGGATGAACAAGGATGTAAAACTGGGCCAACGGAACTCCCATAAATCGGAACGGAGGCGATTGGGTTTTCTACAAGCACGCTATGATGAACGAAAATGAAGAAAGCTTGTTGGATCAGATTGCTATCGGCTAGGAATGTTTAGATAGCAGCTGGAATGACGAAGAGAAAGGAAACTTCAAGAAGAAGCGGGCTACGATAAAAAGCTTAATCCAAGGCTCGCTCTCTACGAAGCTAGCCAAGCAAGTGATGATGAAGAGTACCGGCACGGAGATTTGGGAGGATCTCGTATGAGTTTATGAGGACAAGTCGAACCTTGCGATGACTGCACAAAAGGCGTGCATGCTGCAGGCCGAATGACACCAAACGAATCTGCGAGGACAGGAGAATTTCCGCAGTCACTTGCACACACTATTTGCAGTCACGACTCAACTGGCGGATTTGGGTGCTCCCGTGAACGACTTGCAAATGGTGCATCGCATGTTGCGAAGCCTACCTTCGCAGATGTGTTACGATGAACTACGCCAGAAGGTGTTGCTGATCTCCAATTTGGCACATTACACGCCGGAGCTTCTTCGCGAAATGATTACACCGCATAATCAAACAATGAAGACTGGGAAGGAAGCATCTTCGGCTAGACGGTACGAGAGGGAACACATCCCACAAGACATTAGTGGATGCCTTTACTTCTCGTGCCGATTAAAAAAGTAGCACCCTTTTAGCAGCATCAATATGTTGCTGCTTCGGTATTCGCACATCGCGACTCAGCTGCCCAACGCAATATGCAAGGTCAGGTCTTGTACATGTGGTCATCTACTTGAGTGAACTAGCCAATTTCGAGATACGTAAATCTTCTTGCGAATTGCAGGGGCTCGCTTTCGTCGGTCCTTTTCTGTTTCCTCTACAGACAATCGCATGTTTATTAATCTGTACTTCTTGCAAATCTGCTCAAACAATCTCGTCATAAACTCGACTTTATTGGTCACACAAAGGATGTCGTTTACGTACAAACGTACCATAGCGAGTACGCTATTGCAGGATAAAAATTAGGAACATGGATCGGTCGGACACTGGGTAAACCAAATTCAGTAAACCAAAAAATATACTTCAGTATTACACTCACGTCCAGACTGACGAAGACCGTACAAGGCCTTGCCAGTAATGTAAATATGTCCTTCTTTAGTACGAAAGTAACATTTCGACCCCTTTCACATACTGCTTTATGTCCAACTCAGCGGTAAGGTTGGCAGTATTTATGTCAACTAACTCGATCATGAAGTTCGATTACACAGAAACGGCAACAAACATCCTGAATGTGACCATGCGTGCCACAGGCAAAAAGGTTTCCTTGCAACTCATATCTAGACGCTTTTTATCGCCTCGTGCGACAATTCAGGCCCGGTGTCTCACTACATATCCCAAATGGTACATCTAGACGTCACAGACCCACATGGTTCTAGTCGTTTGCTGTCCTCTTGACATGTCCGATTGTAGAAATTTCCTGAGGACTTATTTGACTTTAGTGCAGACATTTCCGCATCCATGGCCTCACGCCACGCTGTTGCTTGTATTACACGTGTCGCTTGGCGATAGTTTGTAGGGATCTTTAAATCCTTTTTGCGTACATCTCGTCGTCTTGAATAACTTGAATGCATTACACGAAATGCAGAATACACCTTGAAGTCTTCAAAATTGATAATTGCACATTGCTCCTGCTTGTTAACAATACGGATACGATGCAACCGGGATGCTTTAAGTCGCTTCATATCCACCTTAGCACGCTTTCCTTCACGCGTTCTCCGGACTTCAGCATCTCGTTAACGTCGACGTCCGATCAGTTGATGTGAGGAAAGTGCTATTTCTTGATACGCTACCGGGTACAATATGAGTTCTCTCGCATCACTTAGATCGAGCAGACAGTCAAAAATCTATTTGAACATCATCTCGTCTATTATGCTAAACGTCGTCTACTCGACTGGATCAGTGATGAGGCCTTTTGTCCCATTCTTCCACTGTTCAACTCCTGACTCACTTTCACAGTCACTTTCATCATCACGTTAACTAAGGATTGTCATCAGCATTGAGAAGTTCCGTCGATACTGAAGTTTTATTACCTCTATCTGAATCGTCAGTGGCGTCAGCATCCGTGATAAAATCATTTAAACAGTCTCGTTTATCAAATTTGCTGCCTGCAGTTCTATCCCCATCCCGATCAAGTGCAGGCATAGGACTGTTATGCAGTATCTCATCTCACATTTTTCGATATTTTTAAACCAGATCTTCTTGTGAGCTCTTCACCGTTTGCAAGTCACGTGATCTTGGGTAGTAAGACGACGTTTCCCTTTCTCCTTCTGCCCTATATTGATCATTGCTTTGTACCAGCTCGTCCAGATCACCAGGGGAACAATTTGCTGCATGTGATACGTCGTTTTCCACATTTTCTCCCTGTTCCCGTGGGGTATTGCCAATACTGTCAATGTCACTCAATCCAAACGGCTCGGTTGTGTTGTCACAATCAGTTTGGTATGAGATCATATCGATATCACAATCAGTTTGTTGTGAGATCATATCGACAGCTGTACACATATCTGAAACTGCGCTGGCTTCGGCTTCATGTGATAATTTATCGTGTCCGTCCGCAGCAATCACATCAATGTTACCAACATCAATCTCGTTCGCCTCGATGGATTCACGAACGGCCTCAGCCATGTATACTCTCGATGTGTACGTAGCCTCATATGGATCTTTGTACGCAATAGACTCATTAATTTTCACGTTTGAAACATAATCCTTCTTGTGTTCAGTCGGAAAGTACACATGACATCCCACAATGTCTTCGCGGTACCCTAACAGAAAGCCAATCTTGCAATCCACTCCGAATTCTTCCATATCAATACTGGAATATGGCATAAGCAAAGCGAAACAAATGGTCGCACATGACTAATGTTTGGTTTACAGCCGAACATACTTTCGTACGGTGTACAACCTGCACATTTACAGTACACACGATTCATAATGTGTACATCATTTTCCATTGCGTAAGACTGACAAGACTTTGTCAGTCCAGACTAAGTCATCATCATCGTATTGACCATTCCGATCGACGTTTGGTGCGTCCGCTAGAATAAATTTAGCTGCGAATGTGTGGTGCTATTTTGGTGTAAGCTATACTATATGTAGCATACCATGTCTCCATAGTGCCATTACAGAATTCTTGGTCTTTTTCTGTCAAAACCTGTCTCACCAAATATTTGAAAATGTGTCATGTTGACGTTTCACCCAGGAGATGTAATCCTTAGGTGACCATTTACTTCACCTTCGGTCTTTGATTTCGAGAGATAATTTTTAACGTAGCGCGATAATCCTTCCATGATTTCCAAAGATGCGGAATACGGTGTTCTACTATGGACCCCTGGAAAGAGTAGATAAGCAAATATTACCTCGTTTACTTACTTGATTTTTCTGTCGATAGCTTTGCGAAACGTTTTTCGTCTTTTCTTCCCGAAGTGACAGTCAGTACACTCGATTATACCACATTTCTTAAGCATGATGCGTTCGCCAGCCCTCGATCAATCATAAGCCTAATGATATCCTATCATTTACTCCCAAGACACTTGTGTCAGACGCCAATTTCTGCAACACCATCCGTAACGGATGTTTTGCAAAGACTTTCTTTTCCTTGCCACACGGTTCTTGGTTTTGGTTTTACTTCCTATTTTATGTGTCTTAAAAGTCCAGATATGACCATCATACTGCGTTCGGATGACGTCGATCCATCTCTTTGCAGCTTAAATGAATTTGTTTTCTTATCCCAAGACGTTTAGAAATCTTGATTGATTGCTAATTCAGGCGAAAAGAGGTTACATTTCGCTTTTGGCACATATAACACATCTTCGACCATAAAGTAGACCATTTGGTCATCGATCTCGACAGCGAGAAAATTAGTGCCAAATCTTTCTGCTTCAGCGTCATACCATCCGCGTTTCCCGAAATTATCGAATTCTATTTGCTGTCGGTCATGTTTTGTAACGTCGTAAATTACTATTTACACGCTGTCATATGAGCATTAGATCCGATGTCAAAACACCAAAGACTAGGTTCATAAGTCGTTAAAATAGTTTTAGCTTGGTTTCTTCCCCAAACATCACTTCACGCTTTGCACCATCCTAGTTTTGGACAAGTTCACGCTCCTGGGATAGCTCTGCCTTCATTAGCAGGTCTACGGACTGAGCATGATCGGAATTTGCCGCCCTCTTTCCTTTCAAGCATTGACAATCGCGATCAGATAAATTCCACCACAATGGAAACAGCCGCTATTTTCACCTATCGTTCTAATCTTCTTATCATTCTTGACACGCCCCACTAATTTCTTGTGAGATGTGTTCCCTTTGTACTGTCTCCAGCCGAAGATGCTTCCTTCCCAGTCTTCATTGTTTGATTATGCGGTGTAATCATTTCGCGAAGAAGCTCCGGCGTGTAATGTGCCAAATTGGAGATCAGCAACACCTTCTGGCGTAGTTCATCGTAACATATCTGTGCAGGTAGACTTCGCAACATGCGATCCACCATTTGCAAGTCGTTTACGGGATCATCCAAATCCGCCAGTTGAGTCTTGATTGCAAATGGTGTATGCAAGTGACTGCGGACATTCTCCTGTCCTCGCAGATTCGTTTGGTGTCATTCGGCCTGCAGCATGCACACCTTTTGTGCAGTCATCGCAAGGTTCGACTTGTCCTCATAAACTCATACGAGTTCCTCCCACATCTTCGTGCCGGTACTCTTTATCATCACTTGCTTGGCTAGCTTCGTAGAGAGCGAGCCTTGGATTAAGCTTTTTATCGTAGCCCGCTTCTTCTTGAAGTTTCCTTTCTCTTCGTCATTCCAGCTGCTATCTAAACATTCCTAGCCGATAGCAATCTGATCCAACAAGCTTTCTTCATTTTCGTTCATCATAGCGTGCTTGTAGAAAACCCAATCGCCTCCGTTCCGATTTATGGGAGTTCCGTTGGCCCAGTTTTACATCCTTGTTCATCCGCGTCGCTGCTTGGACCCGAAGACTGCATGCTTCATCTTGTGTGCCGTGAAGGTCGTGCAGCAGCGCGTAGTCGGTCTGCACTTGGGCTCATAACCCTAATAGAAATTACACCACGATAAACACTCGCGAACGACTTGTTTACCTTTAGGTAACTTTGGAACTGACGAGATCAGTACTCTGCTAGGTAGACCTGGTTCTTGCTCTTCTACAATCTTTATAGACATCTGCCTTGTCGCGCTCACTTCCTTCTAGATATGATCGTCCTATCGCTTCGTTCTCCTTTCCCTATCGAGCAGTTCCTAACGTCTTCAACCTGACCCTAGAGTACGGTGTAGTTTCCAATACACCCCCCCAAAGTTACTCCATCACTTTGGACAATCTCTCTGTGGTCAGTAGAATCATTGTACATAGCTTCTCGAGTTTTGCATAAGTCAGTGGCTTCGTCATCAGGTCAGAATGGCTATCCTCTGTCTTGACCTTCCACAAGTCCACAGTTCTTTTTGCTACTTGGTTCCTGACATAGTGCCAGCGTAGCTCCATATGTCTCGTCTGTAGGTTGGGTTTGTTGCCATGACATAGACAGCTTGGTTATCAATTCCCATACGAAAAGTAAGCTGAATCTTGGGGAAGACTTGTATCAGCATTTTTCTTAGACCTTGCCCTACCATGCATGCCTCAAATGCCGCAACAGATTCTGCCTCCGCTGTCGACTGGGCTACAATGCTCTGTCTCCAGAAAGCCCATGGAATCGCACCTCCAGCGAGGCAATGTACAAAACCGGTGATGCTTTTTTGTGTCCGGGTAGTTGCCCCAGTCTGAATCGCAAAACCATCGAGTTTTAGATTCGGTACTCGGCTCATCACCTTGTTTCGAGAATACACGATGACTATACTTCTCGCGGCGATTAAAAAACGTAGCACCCTTTTAGCAGCATCAATATGTTGCTGCGTCGGGTTTCGCACATCGCGACTCAGCTGCCCACATACCGGTGTCAATCGCAAGATGCGCACCCGAGTTAGATACCAATGGAGACGAACATGCGATTATACGTAGAGTGTAACGGGGCACCCTGAAGCTTGTACTGGTGACAGTACAAGCTACTTATTCTGATAACAGAATAAGGCGGTGCCTCGTAACTTCACGTACACTCGTACGTGCAGAGGAAGACGGTAAGAAGAAGCGAGTACTCGGTTAGAGTAAAAAGTAGAACTGTATTTATAATAGTTAATGTCTGCAATAAATCACTATTTATCTTCATCTAACTATGTCTAAATACAAATGTGTAAATCAGTTATCTGCTCACCACTCATTGCGTGCGTCTGTCGTGGCAGCGTCTTCGTTGGTTGATATAATGGCCTATATCAACCAATTAGGAACTACTTGAAGTGCTACAGAATATTGTCCTTATGACAATATTCTGAGAATATAACTCTTATAGTTATATTCTATTAACAATTTCTTATAAATTGTTATGTAACGATTCACCCCGTTACATCACTCCCCTAACCATCAGTCACTTTAGTGACTGATTGACTAATGGATACTCGTCCCAAATCATTTGGGACGGGGTTTGCACTTGTTGGTCCGCGTCCACTTTCCAACATCTCATCGCATGGTAAACAAGCCCATGCGATGCGCGAGCAAGGCCGCCGAGAGCGCGTCTGCACGTCTCTGTGCGGACGCCGAAGCAGAAACTACAGCAACTGATATCCCATCGGTTGCTGAATCGACTCAGCCTGTATCACCTGGTGATGCAGGCGCTGGTCATGAAGACACTCGTGTCTTCACAGAGTACGAGCTCGGTGTCTCGTACTCTCCTGATACGGATGACGGATCCGTATCGACGGCAATTGAATCCAAGCCGCCTGCCAAGCGTGGCATGGACGATGCTTTGCGTCGCAGCATCTTTGGTTCATCTGATGAGTCAGATGAACCATCGCCGAAGCGAAGGCGCTCGAGGTCGCGAGACTCGGGCGCTAATAGTGGTGTCGTTTCTCCAATGGACACCACTTCACAGCGAGGTGCCAGTACTTCTGTCGGCACGTCGCAGGAAGAGCGGGACCGCAATGTGTTGCGTCTCGCTCCAGAAAAGAAGGCATGGATGCCTCCTAAATCTGTCATGGATCACTTGTCGGCGACGACGAGTGATCGTTATCGAACACGATTGTTCGATTCGTCAAGGATCCATCACCTTGACCCCAGCGCGAAAGACTATCGCGCTGAACATGAGTTCTTCATCGATGCTTTCTTCAGACATCGATGGTACAGTGGGAATCACAAACGTGATGGTCCCTCACTACTTCAGGCGTGGAACGCCTACATCCATAATCTCGAGGATGTAGGTCGTGACGCTTGGAACGACAAACTTATCAAAGCTCGTGATAAGTTTGAAAAGCGAACCCCGACAGGTGCACGCTATAAGCTGCATCGTCTGTCAAGGGAGAAAGGATTACCCTGCCTCTCTTGGGGAGACTCGTGCCCATGTTGTGTGAACAACTCTGCACGAGCACCTAAGGAGGCTTACCTCCTTACCAGCCCGTGGTGGCGCGTACGTGTCTCTACTGAGATGTACGAAGGGATTGACAACCTGAAATCCCTTTACGACCGTGCCGGGAAGACTTTCTCCGGCGGTCCTTCTGCGGCACAGGATGTGTCGCGTCGTACTGCTCGACCAGACCCAGTACGTCAACCATCAATTGGGAGCGGGGCTCCCAAGAATCCCAGGACGGGGGATAAGTTGCGCCACCGGACGAGGTAACTCGTCCGACGTCCCGTTCACGTCGCGGTGGTTCAACAGCTGCTCTACTAGATAGCGCTGGCCACCGCGAGAGTCCTCTAATGGAGGTGGAGGAGGAGGAGGGAAAGACGCTCTCCACACGATCATGTGGATCGGTGTGTTCCCGAGAGTTTTTTGATCGCGTAACGCAAGGGTTACGCGACGATCTCGAGCATGAGCGGAATAGGCGTCTCCAGATGGTGGACACTGCCTCGAAGCATCGAGCTGAGTTTGCCTTTGCTCAGCTTGAGAACGAGAGATCTCTGACATCTCTTCGTGACGAGCTAAGGGTAGCTCGTGGGATTGTTGATCGGTCTCGGGCTGAGATAACTGCTCTTCAGACCCTTGTTGATGCCCACCATCGGGAGCACAAGGCTCTCTGCGAGATGCTTGAGCGCAAGGGCGTTCTTCATCGGAAGAAGCAGCGTACTGATGGTACGGCTTAAGCCGACCAACGTAAAACGTGGGATGCGTTCGCATCTTACGTGGTAACTCGATCGTGTATGCATTGCCTAGGCGGTGCAATACACGAAATGGGCCAATGTACTTGGGTAGTAGTTTACTGCTACCCAAGTTAGTCACTACATGTTTTGGTAGATTAACCGTAGACAGTAGGACTAAGTCACCTTTATTAAATAAAAGAGTGTTTGCCCTTCCATTCTTGTCAGCGTTTTGCTTTTTGCTTATCCACCGCTTCGGCGATGGAGTCTTGCACAAAACGGACTACCGTTTCACGAGCCAGTATGAACTCATCTGATGACTCGTTAGCTTCAGTGTGCTGTGAGCGCACTGCAGCGACAACAACCTTTTCTTCAGTGAGGGCTTCCGCACTCTCACTGGGATCATTGTCTTCAGTGAGGGCTTCCGCACTCTCACTGGCATCATCTTCTTCGATATCGATGTTATCGATATCGGCATCAAACGCAATGACTTCTTCGTCAGAGCGTGATGAGCGTGAACCAAATCGGTTTTTGCTCGCGCGAGTCCCTCCCCCCTTAAACCAGAGTTACACTCTAGTAAGGTGGGTACACGCGGATGGCGCAAGCCATTCACGTAAAACGGTGTATGTGTCGTGGACGCATGCACCGAGTTGTTGATGGCAAACTCTACCATTGGCAAAAACTCACTCCAACTCTTAAAGGAGTGTACGTATCCTCGAAGTATCTCTTCAAGGACACGATTGGCACGTTCCGTCTGACCATCTGACTCTGGATGATCAGATGTTGACATCTTCAAGCGCGTTCCGAGTGATTTGAACACGGAACGCCAGAAATCAGCAGTGAATCGTGGATCTCTGTCTGATACGAGTTCACGGGGCAACCCATGAAGTCGGAAGATGGTGTCAATAAAGACACAAGCACAGCCACTTGCCGTGATTGTCTCTGGTACAGCCACAAGGTGTACCATTTTGCTGAATCTGTCAACAAATACGAGAATACCCGTATTCCCGCGTGCGTCTTTGGGTAACCTGAAGACGAAATCCATTGAGATGGATTCCCAGCACTCAGCCGGAACCGGTAGAGGCTGTAAAGGTGCACGCAGTGAAGGACTTGACTTCACTCGTTGGCAGACTTCGCATGCGCGAACATACTTTCGCACAAACTGATACTGGCGGGGCCAGTAAAAGTCTCGACTTACCGTGAGATATGTTTTCTCTCGGCCACGATGTCCTCCTATAGGAGCATCGTGATACTCGAACATGATCCGCAAACGCAGATCAGTATCATCTGGAATGACAACACGTGGTGTGTCACCAGAAACGGCTGTATAATACAGTAAACCGTTACGAGTAGTGTATCGATCTGATGCAGATCGATACGCAGACGACAATCGTTTCAACGATTCTCGGGATGGTTGGGAGAGATGTGACAACAACTTCACTATCTCACCATCTTGGGCGTATGCCCGCCTCACATCATCATACAACGTTGTAGATGGGACTGAGGACGTCATAACCGCAACAGTGACTGTCTCACTGTTGGGTTTCGCGACTGTTTCAAAGTCGGGACGACGTGAGAGTGCATCAGCGACGACATTAAGTCGTCCTGGTTTGTACTCGACCGTAAAGTTGTATTCTGCAAAGAATGACAACCACCGCGCCATTCGTTGTGAAAGGTGCGGGCTGTTCACTGCCGTGCGTAAGGACGCATGGTCAGTGTAAACAACGAAGGGTCTATCTCCTAATAGATAGACTCTGAACTTCGCGAGTGCATACTTCATGGCAAGGAGTTCCTTGTCATGCACTGGATAGTTCCGCTCAGCTGGTTGCAGCTGACGCGACTGATAGCAGACGACGCGTTCAACGCCTTCAAGGTCGTACTGCATTAATGCACAGCCGATTGCGAAATCGCTGGCATCACAGACCACATGAAATGGCCTGTCCTGATCGGCTATTGCTAGGACTGGGGATTGTATCAAGCTCTGCTTGATACCCTCAAAGGAGCGTTGACATTCAGCGTTCCATAACCACCTCTCGTTCTTTTTCAACAAACGAGAGAGGTGTACAGTCATCTCGGCGTAATTGCGTGAATACTTATGCAAATACGCCGCTAGCCCAAGGAATTTTCGAAGACCTTTGACATCGACCGGCACAGGCCAGTCGGTGATCGCCTTGATCTTTTCGGGATCAGGACGTACACCGTTCTTACTAACGATGCACCCAAGAAGTGGTATTTCGCTTGCTGCAAATATACACTTCTTGAGGTTTGCATACAATTGATGCTTTCGCATGATTGTAAGAACTTGTCGGACGTGGTACTTGTGAACCTCAACGTCCGACTTTCCATCCATAGCTCGACTATGGATGAATACGTCATCGAAATAACTCGGCGCGAATTCTCGTACTGGCCTCAACAGATGTGATACACACCTGTTGAACGTGGCAGGGGCATTACTGAGCCCTTGTGGCATTACTAGCCATTCCCAGAGCATGCCGCTAGGCGTGCTAACTGCGGTATAGGGTATATCCTGTTCCGCATTAGGATTTGATAGAAGCCATCCATCAAATCCATGGACGAAAAGATGGTACTCTTTGACATACCATCAATGATTACGTCCTTCCTCGGTATCGGCGTCTGAGCCGGTACCGTTGCAGCGTTCAATTTGTTAAACGCGTGCACTATCCGCCACCCTCCTGTTGCTTTTCGCACACAGAAGGTCGGAGAGCTATGTGGGGAAGTTGATTCCCTCACATGGCCCGCTGCTAAACGATCGGCAAAGAACTTGTCGATCGCAAGTACTTGTTCACGAGGCAGTGGCCACTGCTTCATGACACAGTACTTCGAGCCTGGTTTAAGTCTCGACTTCGTGTCGAATACCTTTATCCTTCGGTAATTCGCACGGAACAGTTTCAGGGAATACATCCTTGAATTCAACCAAATCTTCATAGAGAGGATTTTCCTTGAGCGATTCCCATGATTGGGACTCATATCGCTCAATTCGTGTCTTTTCATCTAGGACACTCTCGTCCATAGATGAACTACTGAGAACTCTCTCGTTCTCAGTAAACACTGTTGCTGACCTTATGTCGGTTACATACTCGTCGTCAGCGACGAGTATGCAGATCTGCTTGACTTTGCCACTACGCAGATCACGCAAGAACCTTTATGTTCGAGCGTTGGCAACTGAGTGATCTCCGAAGTTAACTTCGGAGGCGCAATCAGATCAAGTGTATAAGCGCCTACACATGATCCGTTATTGACTATGACATTCAATGTCTCTTGTCATTTCCTGGGGACTTATTCCCTCAGGCTTCGAAGGACTTATTCCTTCGTCTTCCCGGGGACTTATTCCCGCGGGTTTCGGGGAACTTATTTCCGCCGTATTTGTAATCTTGGGACTTATTCCCTTTATTTCCTCTAGCTGGGGTTGCGCAACCACAGCGAGATCCTCTACGAAAGACTCTCCAGTCGATCTAGGATTATCGTTTCGCTTAACCTGAGCGATCGATTGTTTCTCTTCTAGATGTTCCCCTCTAGGGATACATCTTTGTCCCAGTCCACCCGACTTATTCGAGTGGTGGACCTTCGGCGCAGCCTGTGTTTCCTCACAGCCGCCGGAACTTTGCTCCGAAGTGTAACCGTTTGGTACACTAAGGTTTTGTGCAGTCGTACTAACGACCGTACCACAAGTGAGGCCATCGCACTCACTCGTAGTACATCCACACGCTTGTGGACGTCTCCAAAACGTTCATCAGATGGCCATCTGATGAACAAGCGGCAGGCATCGTTACTGTCCGATGTTGCCAGTTTACCCGTGGTTCGTACCTTCTGAGCCACGGTATTCCAAGGATGACATCAAATTTGTCATCCAAATCCAATACGATAAAGTCATCGTCGTATTGGGTATCTTCTAGCGTATAGTGAATCTTCACTATACGCTTCATGACGGTTACGGATGCGCCTGTCGCAAGACGTACCGTCATCCTCGTAGGAGGTGTGTCACATTCACTGAATTTAAAGTGACCATCTTCTAGCGATTGGCGTCGCACAAAATTGTTGGACGCCCCACAATCGACTAGAGCTCGAAGGGACAACTTATTCGTCACTTCGAGTTTCAAGGTAATGAGTGAGATCTCATTACCTAGAGCAGCAACGCACAATGTCTGTGTGTTGGGAGCAACCTTCATCAAGAGGCCTACAAATTCTCTTGACGTTGCTGGATCAGTAGGGTGCTCCGCACCTACTGATCCTGTCCGTTTTTTGACGGTCCATCCCGTTGTTGCGTCTTTGCACCAACTGCGGACCCTCGTCCCTGCCCCTTTCTCATGGGTGGACGGTCACTACGCCCAGTGTCGCGAGACACTGGACGAGGGGCACTACACTCGTAAGCGTAGTGTCCTGTCTTCTGACATCTGTTGCATCTCTGCAACTTCTTGTAGCCTGTAGAGCGAGCCTTCTCGCTCTCTACATAACAGAGTTCCATCGGCTCTGGACCTCCGTTGTCATATCGTCTCGGTTGACGATATGATGTCGAGCTGGCGCGAGCCTGTCTCAGACTGAAGTCTTCCTGCTCCGCAATGGAAATGGCTTGTTCTAGTGAATCTAGTTCAAGCCGGAACAGGTGAGTCTTGACGGGACCATCCGCAAGACCCTGCATGAACACCGAAACCAACGTGTGTTCATCCACCGGATTGGAACTTATACAACTCGTGAGATGTCGTATATGTTGAGCGTAAGCGTGCACATCACGCTTACCCTGCTTGAGCTTCAAGAGTTCGGTTCGAGCTCTGAACTCAGCTCTAGGCGGTTCAAACGTTTGTCTGAGCCGCGACTTGAAGACTTCCAACGACCCAAACGCATATGGGTCGTGCAGCTTGAGCCCCAGTGCCCAAGTCTTGGCACGTCCTGCCAGATTTGACTGGGCAAATGCAACTTGCATATCCCCGTCGTCGATGCGACGCGCCCTTATGGCGTCATCCAATTCGACGAACCATCTCAAGAGGGAG